CCCCCGCACCGGGAGAGGCCACAACAGTGAGAGGCCCGTGTAACGCCAAAAAAAAAAAAAAAAAAGATTATAAGGAAAATGATAAGGTAAAGTTCTGCCTAGACGGATGTAATACATTGAAGCCAATGTGGTTGTAGAAATTTTAATGGGAAAGAGGCACTTAGCAAACAGTGAGGGTTAGATGTCTGTGGGAAGGGAAGGCAGTGGGCAAGATAGCCACAACCCCCAGACCCGCTGGAACCTTTAAGAAACGCTTCCTTGGTCTTCCCTGGTGGCGCAGTGGTTGAGAGTCTGCCTGCCAATGCAGGGGACACAGGTTCGTGCCCTGGTCCGGGAAGATCCCACATGCCGCGGAGCGGCTGGTCCCGTGAGCCATGGCCGCTGAGCCTGCGCGTCCAGAGCCTGTGCTCCGCAACGGGAGAGGCCACAACAGTGAGAGGCCTGCGTACCGCAAAAAGGGCGGGGTATTTAACAATGCTGAAGTCCCCTTCTTGAAAGAGTGCCATCTTTTTGTATTCATTTATAATAATAGTACAGACTATTATGTTAAGTACTTTTATATTAAATACTTTCTATGTGCCAAATTCTCTACATGCATTATTTCATTTAATCCTCACGCACAATTATCCGGTGGTAGGATATAGGGAAGCGGGACTTAAACTCATGACTTTCAACTCCAAGTCACAGGCCCCCTTCTCAAAGAGTCTGTGGTCTGCTTTGGAGCCAAGACATACACAGATGAAAAGGGACAGAGAGTGTGTGAATCTGGAGGTGCTGAGAAGACTTGCTCGAGTGAGCGTCGTTCGTTTCTTGGAGGAGGAAGGGCTTGGGTTAACCATCAAAGGGTTGGCAAGGTTGGGCAGAGGAAGTAAAGGATGAGCAGAAGCAGAAAGGTAGAGAAAAGACATGAGACTGAACAGGAGTGTTGCTTTTCCCAGGTGGAAGAGGTGAAGCTTAAGTTGCTGGGCTTGATATCAATAGAAAGTTAAGGAAAGACTCCTGCGCTCGGGATTTTCCAGCTCGCGGCAGAACTAGACCTGGACACGGCCCCATGTTAGACGTTCTGTAATAAGTTCTGTAATGAGGGAAGGAAGGGCTTTCTATGTGAACATGAAGTTTCCAAGAAGGCATTGCCGAGGAAGCGGCATTTGTGAGGGACGTTCAGTAGAGTTTTTGATGGGTTAGGAATCCGGAGATAGGGATGAAGGATGTTTAGTGTGAGCAAAGTACAAGGCAGTTTTTGGGAATGGTGAGCTCTGTATAGCAGGAATATTGATTAATCAGGGAAACAGAGGGGGTCATGAGGCTGGAAGGGTAACCAGGCACTGCCCAGCAACAGAAAGAGCCGGCTGGTCCTGAGAAGGCTTGCTCTCCATCCCAGGATGCTGGTGACTCAGAATTCTCATAAGAAGGTGGGATGGCCCAGGGTCGCTCAGTGCATTCAGAGGGCGCAGTTCCCAGGATTTGGCAGAACTTTCTCCAGTGAGGACAGGGGTGAGGCTTCTCCATTCTGAGGCAGGAGGTGGTGTAATCCCACTCCTGACTTCTCTCGGGTAAAGGGATACCAAAAACTCTAAAGGCTCTGGCTCCTGGTTTAACTTGAGCACCTCACAACCATGCAGCTGTTTATGCCTGTCTCAGGAATGGGAAGTCAGTAGCAGAGAACATCACATCTTCAGACCATAAAACATAAAACACTTATTTCACGGGGTTGGCTCCAAGGCACATCCATCCCAGAATTCTGCCTCAGACTCAGCCTAGGACTTAAGACTGCTTTGGTTTATTATTTGTTTAAATATTCTCTGCCAGTACTTTTTGAGCACTGTCTCTGTGCTAGGCACTGGACTAAGACCCATATGTGGATGGTCTGTTGTAATCTGCTTATAAATCCTTGGAAGTTGTCGGATTATTGGCTCCATTTCACAGTGAGGAAATGATACCTCAACCAGCACTTTAAGTGGAAGAGCTGGATGTGACCCCAGCGTCAGACTCCAGAACCTGAATTCCCTTCACTTCTTTTTTTTTTTTTAATTTATTTATTTTTGGCTGCGTTGGGTCTTGTGTTGCTGTGCGCGGGCTTTCTCTAGCTGCAGCGAGCGGGGGCTACTCTTTGTTGTGGTACGTGGGCTTCTCACTGCCGTGGCTTCTCTTGTTGCGGAGCACGGGCTCTAGGTGCTCAGGCTTCAGTAGTTGTGGCATGCGAGCTCAGTAGTTGTGGCGCCCGGGCTTAGTTGCTCCGCGGCATGTGGGATTTTCCCGAACCAGGGATCGAACCCGTGTTTCCTGCATTGGCAGGCGGATTCTTAACCACTGCGCCACCAGAGAAGTCCCCCTCCGTTTACTTCTAACGCATCCTTATTCACGCAACCCCCTTCTACACCTCCTGCCCATGAGTGTATGTACAGGTGGGCCTTTAACCTCACATTGCGGTTGGCAGCACATCCCTGAAACCTTCCACCCAAGTGCCTTCAGCATTTTGGGATCCCTTCAGTCCCAGTAAGAGAAGTTGCCTCTAATGAGATCCTCATTTCCAGTATCGTTTTCAAACGGAATATGTGTCTTCCCCAAGGTGAGAAGCCATACCAGTGTGACTTCAAGGACTGTGAGCGAAGGTTTTCTCGTTCAGACCAGCTCAAAAGACACCAAAGGAGACACACAGGTTTGTAGGCTCCCTTCTCGTTGCTGGCAGTGTGTTCCCTCGGGTCATGGTTGATTTTGTGATTCTCTTTATTGTTCAATATGGATGTGAGAGGGTCAGCCATTTGTTTGTTTAGTTTCTCCAATAATTTTTTCCCCCTAATCTCTGGGGATTTACCTTCCCTTAAAGGGGGGGAAAAAGAAGAAGAAGAAAGGAAAGAGAAAGAAACATCCCATATTTCCCCTGAAAACCACAGAGACATGATATTCCCACTAGCAATTTGCTGTTGATACACTGAGTGTCAGTAAAGAACATGGGTGGTCGAGAACAAAATCCCATTTGTAGTGTGTGATTCACTTTTTCAGTCTCAGACACAGCTGAGAACTTGGTGAGAGGCTGGACATTTGTGGTTAAGCAGTAGCTGTTCCCAAGATCACAGGTCTTCGAGGATTACTGTGTAGAATCAGGTGGTTCCTGCTGGGCCTGGGGTACTGGGGAAATCTGAGGGCGAGGCAGATAATCGCAGGCGTGGCTGGAGATGCCTGGCTCCTCGGGGCCGCTGGGAAGCAGGCCTTTTGGGCCTTGCTTTGCCCCACATGGTTAGGGCCACGGCTAGACCTTCTCTGTCCGTTTAGGTGTGAAACCATTCCAGTGTAAAACTTGTCAGCGAAAGTTCTCCCGGTCTGACCATCTGAAGACCCACACCAGGACTCATACAGGTAAAACAAGTGCGTAAACTTTTCTTCACATTTATTTTTCATTATTTTTTTAAACTACTGTTGAATGGAGTTGCTTGTGATGAGAGAGATTGGGAAAAACAAGTGTAAAAGTTCTAAGCAAGTTTAGATTCAGTGGAGAGAAAGCACAGTGCATGGCTATCTTTAAATAACAACATTGTTTAAGAAGGAATGAGGGTGGGGGACACAGAGCATAAGGATGTGAAAAGAGCTCTTTTCATGAGTGTCCAGAATGAAGGGAAGAGATAAGCTAGGTCCCTGCTGTTCCCGATTTGTTGCATCACATTTTTATCAACTCAGTTTGATAGGATAATCAACCTTACAGAAAAACAGCAAAAATTCTAGCAAGCCAAACACTTATTTTCCTGAAAGTTTGCATTTCACAACACTATTTTCAGAGGACTGAATCTTTGCTCTGCTAAAAGTTAATGCTGCAGGAGCAGTCATGGTTTCTGCCAGACCCATATCAGCGTGTGGGTATTATTTCCTTTGTACTAGAATAGAGAGGGGAATAGGACATTCATTCACTGGCTGCTGAAAGTTTTTGCTTCTCCACAAGGCTGGTGTGATTCATAATGAAAATAGCACCATCTTTGTTGTGTGTTTTCTAGCTTTGGAGGGAGGGCCAAGGCTTAGGTTATCTCATTTTATCTTCACAACATCCTTGGAAGAAGAGTAGGGTAGGCACGTTTTATCCCCATTTTACAGATGAGGAGGTTGAGGCACGTGATAAAATGACTTTGTCTAAAGTCCCAAAGCTAGTAAGTAGCCAACCCAGATCTGTCTTCTCCCAGCCCACCTACCCACTGCCTTCTTTGTTGGGGAAAGAGCCTGGGTTCACTTTGCAGCCCAGGGAGGATAGAGAATAAATAAGAGACCCAAGGTCAGCAGAGTTGAATTCCACTGAGAGACTGAGGAGAATGATGACTGACAGGAGAAGAGGTTGGGATTTGTCCATCAGAAGGTGTTCTTTGACAGCATGGCTGGCGGTGGGGGGGGAACAGGAGCCAGATCAGAAAGAGCAGAGGAACAGTGAGTAGGAGGTGAGGGAAATGGGAGGTCATGAGCCCCTGTGAAGTCCTGGATTCTCAGCCCCAACAGGCTGTACGTACTGAGAGTCAAGGCACCTGTGCCCCAGAGTTGGTGGGATGGGCATCTCGTTCCCTTACTCACGTGCCTTTGGTGTCACTTCTTTGCCTTCGTCCTGAGCTCATAACTTGATGGGAAAG